CTCCAACTTCAGCTGATCGTTCTCTGCCAAGGTGGACCAAACTCCTTCCTGAGCCAGTGAAATGCTTAGGGGACTCTGCAGGGAATCTTTGGCAAGGTCAAGAAAAAACAAGCCTGGCTTCCACCTGCCGCTGCCATCTCAGCTAGATAAAGTTTATTTGAGGCTGAAGAAGCCTTTTTGCTGTTGAACATTTCCCCACCTATGCATATACCCAAGGACAGGCTCTGATCAGTGGTTCAGCAGTTAATATTTTATATGATATAAAATGTATTTATTTTACAAATAGGCGAATGCATGTTGTTAGCCACTAGGAAAACTCCAAAGAGAATGTTAAGACAGAACTTTAAATAAAACTCACCATGTCATGACTGCGTTCATTTTACCTGGAAGATGGAACATTGGTGAGTCCTTGGGGCTCTCTGTGCTCCTCTCTGCTGGAGTCTAGATGCTGGGTGACATGCTTGTATGACTGGAGCTTTCCACAGAGGATGACAGTTCTGCTGATCACTGCATGGTGTGAGCCTTGTATTGGCTGCAAGCTCCTGGAACCAAGGCCACAGACACAAACTCCACCTTATCGTAAGGGCCCAGGAATACCCTGTAACAGAGCAATCCTCTGTCCAGTCCATACCAAAGGCCTCCTTACCTGCTTTAAACTTACATTCAATTTTTCTCCTATGATTTTCCTGTGTTTACCATCTTTTTAAATAATATATTTTACTTTGTGGCTAAATATTTCAGGAATCCAATGTGAAAAAAAAAAGCCTGAAAGAGAGGTACCCTCTGAACCCTGCAAATGCCTCTCTAGGTGAATAGTTAATGACTGACACTTTCCCCTAGGTCAGAATCTTTATTTGCTGGCCATCCATGTGCAATGGCTGAGTGGCTCTACCCTGTAAGCTGGCACCACACTGCCCTGCTAGGAGCACCTTGTTTCTGCCCCACATCTGCTTGAAGTCTTTTTCCCTCACAGTAAAAAGTACCCCAGCAGTTAAAAAACACATTTATGTTTAAACAAAGAGCTTTAAACAAGTTTAAGTATAAAATTATTACAGCAGTATAGAATATTTAGAAGATTAAGAAATGCCCTCAGACCATCACTCTGTGACATTTCTCAAGTGTTTAATTTTTCCTAAACCTTGCACTTTTTTTTTTTTGGTCTTTGGCCGGGGGGGGGGTTGTGTGTTCATGTGTATATATCATGTATGTACCTGCATACATGTTTGTGTATGTTGAGGCACACATGTAGATCAGAAGACAACCTGGGGGATCTCTTGCTCACCATGGCATGTGTCAGGCTAGAGGCCTAGAAACTTCTGGGGCTTCTTCTGTCCTCACCTTGCATCTCCATGTAGAAGCACTGCAATTGCAGGTATGCTACCACATGCAGCTTTTTCTGTAGATGCTGGGGATCCCAGCTCAGGTCCTCATGCTTGCACAGTGTGGACCTTACACACCGAGCCCATCATCCCAGCCCCACGTGCATTTATTGTTAACATGGTTGACATTGCACAATTTACAAATACTTAAAGGATTTGCGTTTGTTTCTAGCTTCTCTTTGGTTTCTATTGTTGGTGAACATTTCCATATTTTCATACAATTTTTGTAAGCATCAAGGGAATATTTGTTATCGAAATAAATGTTCTAAAACAGAAACCTTGGAAAATAAACAGCAGTGCAAAGAAAACAAAATTCCCTCCACTTCCCTTTCTCTGGCTGTCTCTCCTGGGTCTCTTAGATGCATCACTGGGTTGTGCTTGCTCCAAGTGTGTGTATCACTTCTTCTCATTTGATGGCTTCATTCCATCAGCGCATCCTGTGATGCGGACATTTACTTGATCATCTTGGGTGTGCAGCTTTCATCATTCCTTTCTGTTGTTGCTGTAGTCAAGTAACAATGAACATCCTTTTTCCAAGGCTCTAATGACTTTCTGACCATTTCCTTGGCATGAGTTCCCTGTTTGGAAATACTGGTTCAAGTGCTATGAACGTTTTCAAGCTCTAACCAAGTCATTTTTGAGGAAGAACCTATCAGTTTGAACTCCCAAAACATGTATGGAAAATACTTTTCTCCTCCTGAATTTTAAAAGGGTTTTTCTTCGCAGTTATAATGAGATTGGTATTCTATTATGTCTATTAACTGTATTCTACTGAACCCATCTCATTTACCTAGCAACTTCCACCCACTGGAGTGAACTACATACTAGCTGTTACCTGGTAACTTTATTTACATCCCTTCTAATTCTAGCTGGAACAAAGGTGAAAGATTTTACTCATCTTACTTTTATACTCGATGACTCTTCAGTTCAGAAATTCAAGTAATTTGCACACAATTATCTAGAAAATGTTTGAGCCACAATTTTTTTTAAAAATATTTTCCAAAATATATTTTTTTATTTTTTATATGTATAAGTGTTTGGCCTGCATGTGTGTAAGTGCACCTCTGTCATGCAATGGGATCCCTGGAACTAGAATTATGGATGGTTTTTTGGCCTCAATGTGGGTACTGGGAACCAAATCCAGGTCCTCTGCACGAGCAGTCAGTGCTCTTAACCACTGAGCAATCTCTCCAGCCCCTGAGTCACAATTCTTAGCCAAGACTGAATAAGACTCCTATCAAGCACTGACTGGGCCCCACTCTGCTTAGCCTCTGAGATCAGTCACAATCAGGAATATTCAGAGTGGTTGGCCATACAGTAGGACCAAATAACTCTAGGGCTCAAGAAACTTCATCAGAGCTCTGACAAAAGAAATGAGATAACTCATTTCAGGGAAACATGCAAACACATATACAGACACCACATGCATACAATCACATACACACAGACACCATTCACACCCAATCACATACACTCACACACACAGACACATACCGCACACACACGCACACACATACGCTACATATGCATACATACACACAGACACCATATACACAATCATCTACACTCACGCACAGACACATGTTAAACACATACATATACTACGCATACATATATACACAGACTACACATACACACAGACACCACACACACAATCACATATACTCACACACACATATACACATTCACACAAAAATTCACATGCATACACATATAGACACACACCACATACATACACACATGTACACACACAGAACCCCTCCTTCATGCAACCATAACCAAACCAAAGTCACAAATCATGCAGATCCTTATCACTGTGTTTGACCCAGTGAACACTGCTCCCAGTATCTGTGTGCATATCATAAAGATGTCAGGATGGAGGGAGAAATGGATGGATGCCAGGTGATGGATAGATGGATGGTTGAATGGGTGGGTGTACCAATATGTTTTTAAAAAGTATTTTATTTATTATTTTTATTTTATGTGTATGTGTGTATTCCCTGCATGTAGGTAAGTACACCCATGTCATGCAATGCCCACAAAGGGCAGAAGAGACTGTCGGATCCCCTGGAACTGGAGTTACG